TTAAAGGCACTTTTTACAATAACAAGGAATATTATCATAGTACCTGGGGAATGAAAATTAGCAGTTTTATATAGACGGTAAAAAGTTAAAGACTTCAGTTCTGATCAACTGCAAAGCGACGCCGTATTTAGTAGGTAGGAAATAAAAATTAGCATTTTTTATAGACGGTAAACCGTTTAGACTTCTATTCTGATCAACTGCAAAGCGACGCCTGGAATACCATCACGCAGTCTGATTTTTAGTCGGTCACGCAWTAATTTCAAGCTCATAGGAACTAAAAATATATGATCATTTGGTACGACTGTATTAGTGACACGGCTTAAAAACGGATGATTGGCTAATCAAAATATCAACTGAGTGTGCGCAGTATGTTTTTCCGCTGAATTTATCGCTGGCGCTTAGTACAAAATGGCGGACGAGAAGGGATTATTGTCGAGCACATTTTCTTCCCAAAATCGCAGTTTTTATCCCACGAATCTTGATTGTATGTCGTACTTGTTCAAAAAACCGAGACAGATGAGTATTACGATGCTATATTGATGGTAAATAGTCATTTTTTCATTTTGATTCCAACAAAACCAAGTCGTCGAAGTGCGGGTACAAGGAAAACAACTTACATCTCACTTAATTTCTTAATATATATTTACAAAAACCTTCGATTAGAATAAATAATCATGTTTTTAATAACGATTTACTTCAGAAAGCCAAGATTTGTTTCGAAAATCTGACCGGTTGTTGGTTTCACTTCATTGACGAGCATTTTAGCCCACACAACAAAGTCGTTCGCGTCTGAAGTTTTCAGTCTTGCGTGGTGTTTTTCCTTATCCATTAATCGCCTTGATACTTACAAAGACCTTCGATTAGAATAAACAATCATGTTTTTAATAAAGATTTACTTCAGAAAGCCAAATTCGTTTCGAAAATCAGACCGATTGTTGGTTAGTCACTTCATTGACGAGCATTTTAGCCCACACAACAAAGTCGTTCGCGTCTGAAGTTTTCAGTCTTGCGTGGTGTTTTTCCTTATCCATTGATCCCCTTGATACTTACAAAGACCTTCGATTAGAATAAACAATCATGTTTTTAATAAAGATTTACTTCAGAAAGCCAAGATTGTTTCGAAAATCTGACCGATTGTTGGTTTCACTTCATTGACGAGCACAAGTCTTTACACTTTTAACTATTTGTTGCCGTCACAACAAAGTCGTTCGCTTCTAAAGTTTTCAGTCTTTCGTGGTGTTTTTCCTTACCCATCAATCGCTTTGATACTTACAAAAATCTTCGATCAGAATAAATAATCATGCTTTTAATAAAGATTTACTTCAGAAAGCCAAGATCGAAAATCTGTCTGATTTTTGGTTTCACTTAATTGACGAGCAAGTCTCCGTCACAACAAAGTCGTTCGCGTTGGAAGTCAATTCTCAGCGCTTGGACTTTCATCGAGACAACTGGAATGCTATTCTAAAAGTTCTATAATTGCTTTGATGGACTTWAAATTACATAAATTCTATTTCATAAAGCTTTTCATGTGTATATTTATAAGACATGATATCGTGTGGGCGAAAGTGATTTGATGGCCGATATGTTGTGGGCTAAACGGTGTGGGCGAACTGACTTGTGGGCGAAACATCCGGTTACCTCAAAATACAGTGAAGAAAATACAAGTATTGCTTTCTTTTTCCAACTCTATTTCAAGCTTCTGAACTTAAAAAGCTGATTTATTGTCAAAATAATCAAGTAAACATTGTAAATTTTTAAATTCCCAATAAAAACTATAGACGATCATGGTTTACCCGGATTTACCCCGATCATGTGCAAAATATTTCCAAGAGCCGCTATGTGAACTGGTACTTTATTTGCTCAAATTTCGATATCGTGTGGTAAAACCTTTGATAATTCTTTCTTTGGGGTATTTCTTTAAAAAAATGGGGACACTGGTCATTATTCAACCATTTCCATGAGTTTTCCAGGCATTTTTGGAAGCATACTGAGACTAGTTTAATTCCATAATTAGCAAGGAATCAAATGCTTTGTGTCTACATGGCAATCTCACCAGCCATTTTACTTTTATATCAAAACAATTCTTACTATTATTATGTTTAGTGTAAATGGGAGAATCTTACATGTAAGGTGCTGAAGCTGTAAACAGGAGAACACCAAAATTAAAAGTTTTTTTTAAAAAGTGCTCCTCATGATAATTAAATGTTGCATTTATGAATAATTAAGCCACTGTATGATTTTTTCTCAATATTCAGTGCTTTTCAAGGTTAGGAGTTGTATCCCAAACCTGTTATAATAATGTACACTCTTTTCACTGATAAGCACTTATGCAAGAACAATAAAAATAGATGTCTTAAGTTTTCCTCATTCTTGTCAGTTTACTGTAGTTTGTATGTTAAAGCCTTCATTATTGTAATACAAAAGTTGAAAGCCCTTGCCATACGCATTCTTCTGTTTCATATTATATACCAAAGTTAAGAACCAAAGAAGATGGATTTTCCATTTACCAGTCACAAATACATAAATGTGTAAATATATAGAAGGAAA